CTTCCACGCCTGCCATCAGTGCCACGTTTGCACATTCTTCTTCTGACTCTGATGAAGATTCAGATGCATCTGAATCTTCCCAGGTTGTCATCAGAACTTTCTTTTTATGCTCGGGCTTCTTTCTTGGCTTCTCCTTCTGAAGCTTTGGGCATTAATTCTTGTAGTGCCCAGGTTCCTTGCATTCATAGCAGACAACCTCTTTCTTTCCAGATTTTCTGTGTCCAGAAGACTCTTTGCGTTGATCTGGTTTCTTGAAGTTCTTGAACTTCCTCTATTTATGCTTCCAGAGTTTGTTGATCCTTCTAGACAGCAGGGACAATTCATCTTCTTCTTCAGAAGAAGATTCTTCAGAAATTTCTTCTAAAACCTGCAAAGCTTTGGTAGATTTGTTATACTTTAAAGCAGTAAACTTACCTTTTTTTCTGGGGTTCGTCTTCCTCTAATTCAATCTCATGACTCCTCAGAGAGCTGATCATTTCCTCCAATGTGATCTTTTTCAGATCCTTAGCTAGCTTCAGAGCAGTGACCATTGGTCTCCATCTGATTGGCAAACTTTTTATGATCTTTTTAACATGATCTGCAGTGGAGTAACCCTTGTCCAGAACTTTCAAGCCAGCTGTGAGAATCTGGAATCTAGAGAACATAACTTCTATAAATTCTGATTCCTCCATTTTGAAGGCTTCATATTTCGGGATCAACGCCAGAGCCTTAGTCTCCTTGACTTGAGAATTCCCTTCATGAGTCATCTTCAAAGATTCAAACATACCAAATGATGTTTCTCTGTTAGTAATCTTCTCATACTCAGTATGAGATATAACATTTAGAAGTATGGTTCTAGCTTTATGATGATTCCTGAATTCTTTCTTCTGAGCTTCAGTCATAGATTTTATGTCTATCTTTTTGCCATCCCCATCAGCGGGGTGAACATAGCCATCAATAACTAAATCCCAAAGGTCAGCATCATATCCTAGAAAGAAACTTTCAATCCTGTCTTTCCAGTAGTTAAACTTTTCCCCATCAAACATAGGGGGTTTAATGTTGATTCTATCTCTGTCTTCATATCTGTTGTTGTTGGATGTTGAAGCTTCAGCCATAATGTATCAACCAAAATATATCAAGAGTTTTCTCAACTGAATCTTTTCTGTTCACGGTGAAGTGATAGCACATACAGAACCGAAGCTCTGATGCCAACTGAAGGTGAGAAAATACTTAGAAGGGGAGGGGGGTTGAATAAGGGTTTTCAAATAAATATGGCAATAAAAACACAATGATTTTTATCCTGGTTCGTTGAACTCAACTAATCCAGTCCACCCTATCAAGAGTGATTTGCCTTTCTCCACAAGGACTTAATCCACTATAATCAAACAGATTACAATGTCAACCACTAAGAACAACTGTCTTAGTCTTCTCAAGAACTACTGACCACAACTTGGTCTTCTTAAGGAACTGTTACAATCAAATGTAAACTAAACAAGTGTTTAAAATGCTTCTAAGAAAGCTATATCACAACTGTGATTTATACACTTAAGATTAAGAACGAATGAAACTATTCAACAAAGAAATATAATTTGTATGAGAGCTTTGAGAGAGTTTTCAATAGATTAGTCAATTTTCGTCAATTTTCGTCGACTGTAGAAAGATGTTGAAGGCTTGCTTTTATAGACAAAGACATCCAAGACGTTGCAAGCTTGAAGACCGTGTACTGCAAAGTAGCTGTAGCCTTTTGTCTTCACATGACTTAACCTTTCCTAGAAGTAGAACGTTCAGAGAAATCTTTTTTGCCTGAGTTCTTGTGTCTAGCATAAAAGAGGAAAGAGTCGTTTTGGAATATGCCAACGGATATATCTTTGAATAATCTTCTTCAACAAGTTTCTATCTCATAGCAATTAACATCAGAGTCTTGAGTGATCAGAGTCTTGATGTTATCAGAATTTGTTGTATCAGAGTGTTGCAACAAGTGTGCTTCAGCGTGAGTAACATTTAAAGCAGAGTTTGGAGATCAAATCCTCAGTACTTGCAGCGAACAATACTATCAGAGTCTTCTGATAAACAATGCTTGAAACTCTTCATACAAAGTCTTTAGCTACGCTTCATATGCTTCTGTAGCTTCTGCTTCGGATTCTTCTGTAGGCAGCGCTCAGAGTCTTCTAACGAGATGCTTCTGACGCTCAGAGCCTTGCGTAGTTCAATGTTCAGATTCATTTTTACTTTCAGAAGAATATTAAATTTAATATCTGCAACAAAAATACTTGAACAAATTTAGAGTATATAATTTTTTAATACAAAATTTCATTAGTATTATCATCAAAACATAGAGATATAACTAAGAACCACTCTGTGTTCTAACACTTTAATCCACCAAGATGGGTGAATGAACTTAAAGATGGAATGATCTTGAACTTGTAATTCAATTTGGTATTCCCTCTTCTCTTCTCTTTTTTTCTTTTGATCGATGAAAATCTTCAATATCGTTTGAACTTATTTCAAGTTCTTGATGAAGATGAGATCGTTACCATTTTTCTTTTTGTGCGGTATTGCTTTCGAATAGTGATCTACATATCACTTCTATAGCATGCATTAACAATAACATTTTTATTGACCGGCCTCAGATAGTCGTAGTTTCTACATAAACCCGATTACAATTGCTTAACATAGCGCTAAATTGTCCCGTAATAGGAAAGTGATCATTCGTGACTCAAATCTATGTTTGAAAGTTCAAGTATGGTTGATTATTTGTCTTAAGTCCATTACCTATGAAACTTTTTGTTAGGAGGCTTTGATTTTATCAATCCCTAATGAGTTTTCATTAACTTTGGCCTAAGTGCAAGAGTTAACGATCGTTGATCATATGTTCTAACAACTAATCACTAACTCACTAACAATATTATTGTACTAATTTTGTTTATGTTTCCTTCTTACTCCGTATCTCTATTTTATTTTTATGCTCCATTTTTATCATCTCATCTCATATTATTGTTTATGCTTCCGTTATTTTTCCTTTGTCTGTTGGACACATGCTTATGTTTCCGCCATTTTCCTCTTGTCTATTTGGACCATATCTTGTTCAAAACACTAATAAAGGATTAAACCTCTAAAAAAACTTGGTGTTATTAACTTTGTGGTTATGCTCTTGGACTATTCTTAGACCTTGGACTTCTTGGATTATTCTTGGACCCTTGGACTTAGAATTAGGTCTCTTTCCCTATGCTTGGAGTATTATGGATCTTTGCCTTTATTTGACTTGCTTATTCGCTTATGCTTTAAGATGGATAAAATTCTTATTTGGCTTGCTATGAAGTGTGTTACAATTTGGTTAAACCATTCTTATCTCTAACTTTTATTTTGCTTTCTAGGATAATCACTTCATCTCCTCACCTTAAATTTTCAAAATCTTCTCCCCTTTTCAAAAACCTTCTTCTTTTCAAACTTAAAACCGCTTTCACAATAAAACCTTGACTTTCGTCAAACGATTTTCAAACTTTATTTTCTTTAATAAATGTAAATCAATGTTAATCATACTTTGACAAATTTCAAAAAGATATAAAAAAACATTTCACCTCGTTCAAACTTTTTGTGTCTTTGTGCACTTTTCGTTTTAAATTTTTTCATAAGTTTAGACATGAGTCATTTCCATAGTTGAGATATAATTCTCATATTTTCCATAGTATTTAAGATGTTGACATTTTTCACTTAGATGTTGAACGATAGACTTGTTGATTTTAATCCAAGAAAAATCCTCCATCTTTAGGTGATACAAATGTTGTCTTATACTTGTGGGCGACTAGTCGTAGTTTTCTCCTTAAAATAACGACTTGTCTTTACATTTAAAAATCAATCTTAACCAACAAATTTTTATTATTTGTACCACGAACGAAGAGGTTTTGATCCTATATTGTACTTTGTGGGTACGTAGGCATGAGGTGATAAGTCTCTCCAAACACAAAAATCTTTAAAAAATAATTCTCTTCGCATCTCCCCAATCTCTTTTCGAACCAAAAAAGTAGATATTTCAAAGGACTCCTATACAATACTATAGACGTTTTGGGTGCTAACATCTTCCTATTGCATAACCAACCGCTTGCGTAGTCTTTGTTTATTTGTTCTTGTTTTAGAACTCTTAAGTTTTGTTCGCTCTTTTTCTTTTCTTTTTGGATAAAATAAAAGTGCGGTGACGACTCTTGCAATTTTGAATTAAGTTAATCAATAGTTTACCTTCACAAATTTCCCTGCTACAAGATACATATAAGATGAATATAAAAGTGCATCTCTGAACTATTTTTAGACAAAAAGAGAGATGCGACATATTTACACATTTATTTGATACGAAATGAATGCTACAAAAAATATATTTCTAAATTAATAAATACATTTTCAACCCATGGGAGAAGCAATTCCCAACATTTTTATAATAGAATAATTTATGTGAATATATGGTGCAACATTCTATTTTCTCTTTTTTTAGTTTGTGTCTATTTATTTTTAATTCATAACTTTTTAAAAATCATCTTATTCATCTGTTTTCTCATGTATTTTGTAATGAACAGGTTTGACACTAGGGTGTATTTTTCTTTTTTTATATTTTGATTTCAAAGTGACCCTTCTGATTTAGCGCATTGATTTAGTTTATTCAGTTTTATTAAATTTTTTTTTTTTTAATTTTATATGAAGGTCTATTAAAATTGAAACGGAAAGACTAAAGAATAAAATTTTAAAACTAGAGCTATCAAAAAGGCATTTAAATTTGAACCAAATATGTGAATTTAGAATAAAATTGCTTTTAACACAGGCATATTCAGTAAAGTCACCGAATTTCTATCCCTGCGCAACAAATCCAAAACTTGAAAATTTGAAAAAATTGGAGGGTTAGTCACCTCTTCCCCGCCACTCTGCATGCAGCTGCCGCTACTGCCGTTAGCAGTTTACCATGGACTGCCACTGTACCATATTATCAAAGTTTTGAATTACAATTGATGCACATAACGTATTTGATGAATTTCCCAATGAAATTCAACATGCATGTCTTGCTCAACTCTGCTTTGCAACGCTGTTACCTTCGAAAGACGACTACCCACAAGTTCCAATTACTTTCAGTGTCTCTCTATTCCACATTGCAACCAGTATCTACACCACCCGAGTTACAAGACCTCTGCAGCGTTGTCACCGGCACTGTTGGTGGACTAGATGATCTAGAGTTAAGTCTAAATAAGTTTAAGGGTTCTCTAACTTCACCTCTTGTAGCTCAAATTATTGATTCCATTAAACACGAGGCACACACTAGAAGACTGCTTAGATTCTTCTTATGGTCCAACAAGAATTTGAGATATGATTTACAAGATAAGGATTATAATTATGCTCTTAGAGTTTTCGCCGAAAAGAAAGACTATACAGCAATGGACATCTTGCTTGGAGATTTTAAGAAGGAGGGAAGAGTCATGGATGCTCAAACTTTTGGTCTTATAGCTGAGAATTTTGTTAAGCTCGGAAAAGAAGATGAAGCGTTGGGTATTTTCAAGAACTTAGACAAGTATAAGTGTCTTATTGATGAGTTCACGGTTACTGCTATTATTAATGCCCTTTGCTCTAAAGGGCATGCTAAGAGGGCTGAAGGTGTAGTTTGGCATCACAAGGACAAGATTAAAGGCGTGCTACCTTGTGTTTATAGAAGTATTCTTTATGGTTGGTCTGTGCAGAGGAATGTGAAGGAATCTAGGAGAGTTATTCAAGAGATGAAATCAAATGGGGTTGTCCCGGATTTAGTTTGCTACAACACATTCCTCAGGTGTCTTTGTGAAAGGAATCTGAGACATAATCCTTCTGGACTTGTGCCTGAAGCTTTAAATGTGATGATGGAAATGAGGTCGTATAAGGTTTCGCCGACCACAATCAGTTACAACATTTTACTTTCTTGTTTGGGGAAGACTAGAAGAGTTAAGGAATCTTGTCAAATACTTGAAGCAATGAACAAATCGGGCGTTGCTCCGGATTGGGTATCCTATTATTTGGTGGCAAGGGTTTTGTTTCTGAGTGGTAGATTTGGTAAAGGGAAAGAGATAGTGGATCAAATGATTGAAAAAGGTTTAGTACCAAACCATAAGTTTTACTACAGTTTGATTGGTATTCTCTGTGGGGTTGAAAGGGTAAATCATGCTCTTGAATTGTTTGAGAAAATGAAGGTAAGCTCAGTGGGAGGTTATGGACCAGTTTATGATGTGCTCATTCCAAAGCTTTGTATAGGAGGGGATTTTGAAAAAGGAAGAGAACTTTGGGATGAAGCTACAAGCATGGGCATAACTCTTCAGTGTTCTAGAGATGTTTTAGATCCTTCAATAACAGAAGTATATAAACCTAAAAGACCAGAAAAAATCAATGTTGTGGATAGCTCAAAAGCCAATTCTCAGCAGAAAGTTTCAAATTATATGGAGAGAATGAAAATGCGGAAATCTGCGGCGAGGAAGAAGAAAATGAAAATGAAAAAGAAATCTGAAGCATCTTAATCTGTTATTAAAGTAGTCTTTGTGAACAATTTATTATCAGTGATTGCTTATAATAATCCATTAACATTGTATTACTGCAGTATTGTGCTTATCACAACCATTTGCTCTATCTTTTTTGTTGGTTTAAGTTCATATTTTACTGTGCTTTTATTAATGTCATCACTACTCCCTTGGATCTTAGACAACCCTCTATCACTTTCACAATCTGGTTGTACCACCAACCATCAAATCGAGATTCTGAGAATGCTACAGCAAGATTTTGAAATCTGGCACATGGGTCATTGTCATTGATTGGAACATGCAAGTCAAGGAAAGAGACAAGGATAAGGTTCACGTATGGGGATCTTGTGGGATCGTCTTTGGCGGCAGAATATTTTGTGGGATCTTAGGTAATGTGTTGTGTTTCTTCTTGGAAGATGCTGTACTCCATAGTAGAAGAAACGATGAACACGTTGTTGTTAAAGAGTGCACAACAGATCACTGACAACAAAGGGTCCATTTGACAGAACGAGAAAAGCTGGATTTGGATTTTAATTTAGATACCTTGGGTTAATTAAAGACAAATTTTAAGGTCCCACTTAAAAAACAAATGTCTATTACTCCTAACTTTTTTAAGAAAAAAACTAAAGATATATTAAAATAACACAAGATATTTTTTGAAGATATTAATAGTTTTTTAATATTTTATTTATTTTTGTTAGCGTACAAGGTGATGAGAATAAAAGAAATGAGAAAATATTTATTACTTTGCAATGACGACTACAAAAATTATAAGAAAGATGATGAAATAAATAAAAGTTATCACTAGTGTATTTATACACAAATACTAGGATCACATAGGCAACATATAAAATACTAAATTACCATTCAATATCATCCCTTAATTTAGGATTTCCTAATCAAAACTAACAACACTAATTCCCTCCCTTAAGTGGAGAAATTGATTCGTCTTTGTCAGAACATCTGTCAGCTGCTTCTGTGTGCTACAGTGCACAACTTCTAACACTCCATTCTAAATTTGACTTCTTAGAAAATGATACTTTGTCTCAATATGCTTGCTTCTCCCGTGCAGAACTGGGTTCTTGGCAATATTGATTGCATACTTGTTATCAATCATCAGCTTCAGAGGCTTGCTTACTTTGATCTTCAGATCAGTAAATTCAGAAGTCATACAACTTGACATGCATCTACAACACCTGCGATGTACTCAGCTTCACACGTTGATAGTGCAACAACAGGTTGTTTCTTGGAACACCAAGAAATAGGACCTCCCATAAACTTAAACAAGTATCCATAAGTTCTTCTCATGTCAACTTTATCTCCACACCAATCAGAGTCTAAGTAACTCATCAGCTCTGAATTAGTCTTTCTTCTAGAAGAGAATATCACTCCATACTTCAGAGTTTCTTTGATATACCTCAGGACCCTGACAACAGCTTGATAATAAGACCACCTAGGTTTACTCATGAACCTACTAACCATTCCAACTGCATAACAGATATTAGGTCTGATATTACACAGATACCTCAGAAAACCAACCAACTGTTTAAAGGTTATAGCATCCACATCCTCACATTTAAAATCAGAATCCAATTTGTGATTGGTTTATGAAGGTGTGACAGCAGCCTTACAATTCTGCAGCTTAAATCTCTTTAGAAGCTCAAGTTCATACTTCAGTTGATGCAAAATGATACCCTTGCCAAAATCATAAACTTTATTCCTAAAAAATATGTCATTTTTTCGAGGTCAGTAATTTCAAACTCATTCATCAGCACCTTCTTGAACTTAGCTATCTCTTGTTCAGAACTCCTTGTCAGCAATATGTCATCAACATACACAGACACACCAGAATCATATTGCCTTCAGAGGTATGCTGAACATAAACACCGTACTGCATCTCACATTTCTGAAACCACTACTCCTTGAAAAATGAATCAATATTCAGATTCCAAGCTTTGGGCGCTTGCTTCAATCCATACAAAGCTTTATGTAATTTGTACACCATCCTTTCCTGATTCTTTTTAACAAATCCAAGAGGTTGTGACACGTATACCTCTTCTTGTAATGGATTGTTCATAAATGCAGATTTCGCATCTAAATACATCAGAGGCCAATTCCTGTTAGCAACTATTATAATCACCAGTCTGATTATTTCATGTCTCGGTACAGGTGCAAACACTTCAGAATAATCCAACCTAGGTTTCTGTAAAAATTCTCTTGCTACTAACCTCACTTTGTGTTTTCCAATTGATCCATCTGGCCTTAGCTTCACATTGAAAATCCATCTGACGCTGATGGTTTTCTTGTCCTTTGGAAGCTTAGTCAACTTCCAAGTCTTGTTTCTTTCAATAGCCTCAAGTTCTTCTTTCATGGCCTTCATCCAAACTTTCTTCTTGAGGGCGTCTTCTGTACTTACTGGTTCAGAGTCTACTACCATGGCACACTGAATAACCTCTCTCTTAGAGTCTATTTTAGTATCTCGTAACATCTCATACTCTGAAAATCTTCTTGGGATGTTTCTGACTCTCTGTGGCCTCTGACCACGTTCAAAATATCCTTCGGATGCTGGAACCCCAGGAGTTATATCTTTAGAAGCTTCTCCTTCAGAAGCTCTTGCTTTAGAAGGTTGACCTTCTCCAGAACCTTGACCACCTTCAGAGTCTGGAATATTCCCAGAATCTGAATCACCACCAAAATCTAAATCACCATCAAAATCTAGATTAGAATCATCTTCATCTTCTGAGTCTCCTTCAGAGTCAGAATCACCATCAGAGTCAGACTCGTGTTCAGAGTCTACTCCAGATTTTGACTCATCTTCAAAAACTTCTAATTTTGACTTTTCTTCAGAAGTTCTCACACTAGAGTTGGATTGAGACTTATTTCAATCCCAAGCTTCTGATTCCTTTATAATGACATCTCTGCTGAATTTAAATTTATTAATTTCTAGACAATAAATCTTGTATGCATCTGTACTGTGGTACCCTACCAGTAACATCACTTTGCTTATATCATCCAACTTCTGTCTTCTGACTTCTAGAACATGTTTGTAACATACAGAACCAAACACCTTCATATGGCTAACACTTTGCTTGTCTCCAGTCCACTTCTAAATAGGAACTATTTCCTTCAATTTTTTTGTTGGACATCTGTTGAGCACATATGCTGCGGTGGCAACAACTTATCCCTATAAGGTGTGAGGAAGCTTCTTCTCCTTCAGCATGTTTCTCGTCATATCAAGCAAAGTACGATTTATTCTCTCAGCAAGACCATTGTGTTGAGAAGTATAAGATGTAGTAACCTCATTCTCAATTCCATTCTCCTCACAGAACTTTCTAAACTCAGTGGAGTTATACTCACCTCCACCATCGGTTCTGAGAATCTTCAGAGTCTGACCACTCTGATTCTCAACCTTCATTCTGAATTTCTTAAATTCAGCAAACACCTCGTGTTTGAACTTTATAAGGGCACCCATGTCATTCTTGTGAATTTATTAAAAAATGACACGAAGTATTTGTTCCGTCCAATCGATGCTGCTGGAAATAGACCACACACATCAGAATGCACTACTCTTAAGGCATGCTTTGCTCTTGAAGCTACTTCTGACGCAAATGTCAATCTTGGTTGATTTTCTTCCATGCACACTTTGCATGACTTCTTAGGCTTCTTAATTTTAGGAATTCCATGTACCAACTTCTTCGAATTCAGATGCCCTAAGCTGACCAAATCTTATGTGCCACAACTCACTTTCCTTTACAACACTTGTTGTATTAAGGCATTCAGAGTCTGCAATTTTGACATTCACCTTGAATGTTCTATTCCTTCCCTGTTCTGACTCCATAATTAGCTTCTAATTACAGTCATACAGCTTCAAAATATTGTCCTTCATGGTAAATGAAAAACCTTTCTCAATTAGTTTCCCTACACTCATCAGATTACTTTTCATGCCAGGTACATACCACAGATCATGAATCAATGTTGTTTTCCCATTGTTCAGAACGACTCTGACATTTCCCATACCTTCAGCATTGAGGTATTTATCATCAACACATCTGATCTTTGTCCTCTTTCCAGAGTCAAAGTCAACCAGTCATTTCTTATTTCCAATAAGATGATTTGAGCAGTCAGTGTCCATATACCACCAGTCTGTCAAATTCGTATCATCAGATTCAGAAGCCATCAGTAGCACAGATTCATCATCGAAATCTCTTTGGCTACATTTTCTTCTTCTGACTTCCTTTCCTTGTTTGACCAATAATCAATAGCGAAGTGGCCAAACTTCTTACAACAGTAGCACTGAATCTTCTTCTTGTCATACCTCTCTTTTCCCTTCTGAGCATTCTTCTGCCTATTAAAAGTTGAGGTTTCTAACTTCTGAACACCATCAGATCTTCTCTTGGCTTCTGGCCAAGACTGCTTCTGATGCTTCTTACCAGAAACTGCTTTTAAAGCCTGCCGCTCTACTTCTCTTTCAGAAGTTCTCTTAGTTAGACGTAACTCTTGTGCTTTTAGACTACTTTGCAGTTCTTTAATTCTCATGGTGTCTAGATCCTTAGAATGTTCTATTGCTACCACAATGTAATAAAACTGAGGAGTAAGGGATATCAATACCTTCTCAATGATTACTTGTTCATAAAGGGTTTCTCCACAAGCTTTCATCTCATTAGTGATCAAAATCACTCTGGAGATGTACTTAAATACTTTCTCGTTATCCTTCATGTTGAGATTCCCGTACTGATTTCATAGAGACTGAAGCTTCACCTTCTTCACTGATGCGTCACCACCGTAACACCTAAGCAGTGTGTCCCACACAACCTTCGCCGTCGTCGAATCAACGATTTTTTCAAACATGTTCACATCCACACACTGATGGATGTAGAACAACGCCTTCTGATCTTTCTTCCTCAGATCACACTGAGCATTTCTCTGCGCATCAATTGCATTTTTTAGAAATGCAACTGAAATGTAACCATCGTTGACGAGATCAAGAACATCTTAAGCGC